AGCTTCAAAGCAAGGAATGAAATTGTGCTGTGAGTGCAGGAAAGAGGCAGAGTGAGAAAACTCGGCATTTCTGGGCAGAGTATCCGGAACAGCACCCTGCTTTCGGCCAAGCAGGAGTGGACGTGTACAGGAGGAAGCGCCGAGGAGAGCGAAGTCCTCACTTTGCTTCAGAGCCCAGCCTGGATGTGGGTGCCCACGGCCACAGCAGTGCCTCTTCCCCAGCTCCATGGGGACGAGTAGACAGCACCCCTGTTGCGGTTGCAGGCAGACTCCTCTGACCCCCATCTAATACATTGTAGATCTGAGCAGCTTCCTCTTCCAGGCCAAGCCCAGGGCCATGGTCTCTTAGGTATCACGTGAGAGTGCCCAGCAGATGCTGCTTTAGAACTTCCACCAGCCAAAGGTCACACCAGCACCTCCAGAGCAGCAGCTCTGCCCTGGCCCGAGGAAACCTCTGCTCTTTTCTCCCAGGAGCCTTATCTTGAATTAATTATCGACACCATCACTGACATTCTCAGTCTCCTGCTGAGCTACAGGATATTAATGCACAAAATGTTAAAATAACCAAATAAATATAGAGGACTGTGAGCTGCTTTGCCATGCTCTGCATCTGCCACGCGGTATTTTGGGAAGGACCTGAACTGGTGGAGTTGGGAGCGCATGTGTGTCCCTACAAATCACAGTCACCTCACACCAGGACCAGAGGCAGAGCCCTGACCTACTGCCCTGCCCCAGCACGTTCCCCTCAGTGTACATCCCAGAGATGCACATTCCGGAGATGATGAGATCCCTCCTTGTCTCCTGGACCTCCAGCAATGGCTGCAGAGGAGGCAGGGGGAAGCAGCAGGCACCAGGTTGCACTAGATTTCCCCCAACCCACTGGGAGCTGCCTACACCTCTCAGTCTGGCCTCCTCTGCAGGCAGACCAGGAGGCTGGGATGGTCCCAWCATCATGGCAACGCTCTACACTTCGGATGCCTTTTATAGGTCTCTCTCTCCGCTTTCCCAATTTCCAGAGAGGATTAAAAAATTTCTTTAGTGATTTCCTTCTCACACTACTTCCTTGATGGAACAAGCCCCAGGACTGAGAAGGAGCTCCACGGGTGTGGGCGTGTGTGTGGTGCCAGTGTATCAGCAAATATTACTAAGATGAACGTAACTGTATAGACATTCTTAAATAACGAGCTATTCCTGACCCAAGGCTCCCCATGTGATCCTGACTGTGTCAGCTGATGGGGAAAAAATGTCTTTATGGAAGAAACAATGAACTCTTAATATAGGCCCAGGACTGGGCACATTTTCCCCCATTCCTCTGTGTTCGGTCAGCTTGGAGCCAGCTGCATCCCAAGGATGTGACAGGAGAACTGATTTAAAGCCCCAGAGATGGAGATGGAGATGGAGGAAAGAGCAAACTCAAACTTGGCTTGAGATGTTTGAAACACCACCTGGGTGTCACTGTCTGGGTTGTCCTCTGGGCTTCCATGTCGTGACTGTTGTGACCTTGGACTTCCTAAAAGCAGGCGAGTGTGTTTCAAAAGCTGGCAGTATCACTGCCTAAAACCTTCTTTTTATCTGTTCCACAGACGTTGCCATTTAATTCCTGCCACATCCTTAGAGGCCATGGTAAAAAAAGAGGAACTGGCTGTTCTTATGCAAGCCCCAAATATTTCCACCGAGTCCCCTTGAACTCTTCTCCTTTTCTGGCTGAATATCRCTGTGTGACCCTTCGTCACCAGCTCTTGCCATTTGCAGCTACATCCGCTGAACTTGGCTGCTGCAGCTGGCTCTTTTTCAAAACCAGATGGTTAAAGGACTTATGCCTTTCTTCCCTGAGCAAAGAGCCCAAATCCCAGATTTCTGCATGGCCCTGTAGTGGACTGTGCTGACTGAGCCAGGAATAGTCAAGTCTAGGCCTGTAGGAAAGTCCAGGGCTACAGGAAAGGGAGAAGCTGGAACGTTTTGGAGACCCTGGAGCCAGCCCTGTCCCAGGTCGGGATGCTCTTGGAGATCTTCTCTCCAACTGCTGAAGAGCAGAACAAGGTGCTGGACATCTTTTAAGGGCCATGATGTGAGTCAAGTTTCCTGTAGGGCATGTTCAAATGAACATGGATCTGGTAAAGCTGGCTTATTTTGTCTGCTTTTAGGTCAGTTTTGAAAATGTATTTTCAGGGTGCAACCGTGGCCGCAGATACTCACTGCTTTCTCTCTGGAAGTTTAGGGGAGGCCTTTAGGGAGGGCCTTTYGGTGAGCTGGCCCTTTCGCAACCTGAAACGGGGGACCCTGAAACCCGAGTCCACGCCAGTGAGTGAATTTTGCACAATAGCTCCTTTCCCAATGGCCTCTTCGTGCAGCACAAGAGGAACAGAAAATCTTCGCTCCCGCTGCCGAGAACGRGCCTTTCCCGCATCCCCCTCCGTTGTTTTCCTCCGCGTTCCTGTTTGCGTTAGCATGGCTGGAGAACAGCCAGGCACTGGGCTACATCCCAGTGCCACTGGCTTGCTGGAAGTCCAAGGAAATACAGTRCAAGGTGTGGGGCCATGCGCTCCGTGGGAGCCGCAGGCCGCGCCGGGGCAGCCGGCCTGTCCAGCRGAGCTGGGCTCGCGCCGTGCCGGGAGAACAGCGCGGGCCAAGGCCAAGGGGAAGGCAGCTGTGCGCTCTGATAAGCCAACGTGTCCCCCGCACAGGACTAACCGTCCCCCGGGATCAGTGCTGCGGGTGGCAGCTGCTTTTGCAGGGGAGTGGCTGCCTGYGTCCAACCTGGCTCTTACTGTGGAAAATGGTGGTTCTTTCAGCTTTCCAAATCCCCGTCCTCTGCACCTCCACATGCTCCTGCGTCCCCTCGCCAGGCCCTACAAGTGATGTCCAAAACCCAAAAAGCCTGGGTCGAGCTGGAGCAAACCCCCCTTCCTCTGGGATGCAGCTATGGGAAGTAGCCTGCGATGAGCAAAGAGCTGAGGCTCCCAGCCAGCAGCAAGCCGGAAAAATGGGAATAGCAGGTGAAACTGGGCAGATCAACTCCTGTGCACCAAGAGGTGGGAACAGTCTAAGCCTGTTTTGTCCAATTTCTTCGCACAGACAGAAATGCCTGTCCATTAATCAACCTGTGTGGAGAGGTATGTGCCAGAGGAGGACAACAGCCCAAAGACGAGGAGCCTCCTGCCTCGCACCCACTAAGCGATCCTCCATCCAGCATCATTCCCAGGCTCTCTGGTGTGAGGATGGACCACAGCTGCTGCCRGGGGAGGTTATCAGCTCCCGCCCACTCCCTGCAAGCTTCCACAAGGGATTCCTGCAGTTATCACCAGGCTCCGCTGTCAGCCCAAACATCCCCTTGGAGGTCATGCTGCTCCGGGTGTCTCTGTAGGGAAGCCCAGTCCTTCCTGCTTCTCTTGCTGGGATAGGCACAGCTTCTCCTGCCAGGTGAGGGGGTCTGCAACAAGATCTGCTGCACAGGGGTAACCAGTGCTGCTCCACGTGCACCAGGTTTTAAGTATGGGACTGTTGGTTATCGCTAATTCARGAGCTGCATCTGGCAGCCAACTGAAATCGTGGCAAAATTCCTGTAACCCCATGGGAAAATCACTAAAACCCTGAGAAATTCGTGCCATTTTGATGCGCCCATTTGATGGTAAAAACCAGCAGTTTGTGCTGTATCAGACTGAGACGGAAATTGCCCGAGCGGGGAGAGCCACACGGCTTCCACCAGTAACTATGGAAACTCAGAGCAAACGTGTGCTATTTTCAAAGCGTGCACAGAAATTCTTCACAGAAGGTTTCTCCATAGGGCAGGAACGCACTGGACGGAAAGGGGATAGGATCGCATTGGGTAGGTTAGATTAGGTTAGGTTAGATTTGATTAGATTCCATTCAATTAATGCTGCTGATTCTTCCGCATGAAGCTGTTTGGTGCGGAGCAGTGTCCCGGATGAAAGCGGAGTTAGTGCTTGGGATGTAAAGGTGTTGGCCAAGAGCTGAGCAGGACAGGGCSATCACACACAGGGAACGTGGCAAGGGGACATGCCACAGGGCACACAAGACGTGGCAGAGCACAAGGGACATGGCACGGGGGACATGGCACGTGTCACAACATGGAGACGTGGCACAGAACACAGGACTTTCCATGGGTGACACGGCCTGGGGATGTGGCACGGAGGATATGCCGCAGGGCACACACAGGACATGGCAGGAAGGAGATGGCACAAGGGACCTGGCATGGGGCACAGCACACAGGACATAACACAGGGCGTGAGGGACACAGGACATCGCACAGGGGACACGGGACCTTGCACGTGGGGCATGGCGTGCCCCACGCCGACATGACGTGAGGGGCACGGGACATTGCACAAGGGACATGGCACATGGAATGCAGCACGGGACAAGGCCTGGAGGACATGGCACAGGGGACAAGGGACATGAGACTTGGCAAGGGGACATGCCACGGGGATGCGGCAGCACACAGGGCACAGCACAGGGGACACGGCACAGGGGGACACGGCACAGGGGACACGGGACACGGGACACGGCCACAGGGACATGGCGGGGGGGACACACGACACGGCCCGGGGTCACGGCTCGGGGTCACCTGGGGGGCGGGGCCAGCCGCACCACGAGGCGGGGCCACGCCTCGGACACGCCCCTCATGCTAATGAACGCTGAATCACGCTCGGCGCTACCGCCCGCCCCGGCAGCAGCGATCGAACCATCTCAGTAGGGGCGGGGGGGGGGCAGAGCTGGCTGAGCGCTCACTGCGCATGCGTGAGGCGGCAGCGCTGCGCTCTCCGCGGGGGGGCTGGGACGGAGGGTGTCCCTGCGCACCCCCCGCAGCTGCCCGCTCATGGTAGCGGCCGGCGCCATTTTGTGTCGCGCGGCCGTATTTAGGGCGCGCGGGGCGGTCGCGCCGCTCACTCGGCCGGGACGCAGCCGCAGTAGCGCCGCCCGCGCCGCGCCGCCCGCCCCCGCCGCCCGCGCCATCTTGTCGCCGAGCCGTGCCCGAGCAGGAGCGCGAGCAACGAGGCAGGCGGCGGCGGCGGGTCCCGCTCTTTCCCCTGCCCGCTCCTCGCCCTCCTCTCGGCTCTCGCCGCCGCGGCGCCGGCGGCGCGCAGCGCAGCGCAGCTCTCCCGTCCCCGCCGCCCGCAGCCATGTCGTCGGGCAGCACTCCCGAATACGCCTCCTTCTTCGCCGTCATGGGCGCCTCGGCCGCCATGGTCTTCAGCGGTGAGAGACCCGCCGTTCCGCGGGGCGGGGAGCGCCGGGACGCGGCGCCGCCGCTGACAGGGGCCCGCACCCCAGCGCGGGGGCGGCGCGCGGGGCCTCCCGCCGCGTCACCGCGGCCAGAATTGTGGATTTTTTATTTATTTTTTATTTTT